ACAAACTTCTTGCTAAAGTCATTTGGAGCTATGCCACTGAGCTTACTGCTCTGGTACAGATGCACAACAGGAGCTGCTTCAGAGTCTGTGAAGATAGGTGATGGCCTTCATGTTGCAGAATATGATAATCTAAATCAGGTGATGATGAAATGAACACATGGGTTTAAACTTTCTTCTTCAAATTACACCTCTTCAAAATAATCCCTATTTTTCTTATTTGCTTGCAGCAGGAAGGACACAGTCTTTAACAACTATTTGAAAGAAAGAACAAAATATTGAGAATTGCTGTTAATCAAATGGGTCATCAGATAGCCTTTGAAGCAGAGAAGAAACCATGGAGACTCTTTAGCTAAATTTTACTTCATGCAATGTTGTTGGGAAAGGTGGCTGATAATATTTGGAGTCAAGCTATTGCCAGTAGTGTTTCATTTGTGAGTGAATGTCAACCAACTGCATATATAACCATGAGTGAAGACAGGAACAGAACTGCCTCCAGAAGAGATATTTCTGCTCTACATTAGATTAAAAAAATACTGTGTTGATCCCCTAGGGGAAGTCTTTCATTGTTTTGGACCAAGTAGGAACAGCGGTGGTGATTCTAAACATTGATTTCCTCATGTTCTTCAGATTTTGATAAGGTCGTATCTTTTATGTAGGAAAAATAAGTGTCTGGAAGGAGATAATGAAAGCAATCAGAACTGGCACTATTATGACTTACAGTATGAAGAGAACTGAAAGGTGATATCTGAGACAGTATTGGTCTGCTCTTCCAGGGTACTTAGTCCCAAAATCAAGGTGTCTTTTCAGATATTAACGTTTCAGAAATAAGTGAGGAACACTGGCTACAGGTTTCACAGTCAGCATTCCTTAATGTACTATGATCAGGAGGAAAAAAACACAATCTGCCATGGGCAAGTTTGTTACCCCCAAGTAATCTGCTATGTATATTCCACTGATGGAAACAAGATCTACTAGTCTTAGCATCTGTTATCTAAAGGAGATCATAGGCTTTGTTCTTGCTTGATCTCAGCTGCTATAATTACCTCTTTGATCAGACTTTTTATTCCAAACTACTCACAGTCCAGCAGCACACAGAATCCACTTAGCAGTATTTCTTTGTGTTACTTTTACCGTGTTTTCTCATTAAGCAGTTTTTGAGATGCTACTCCATTTTAAGCCTTCCTCTCCTTAAGCTGAGATCAATACAAGCGTTGTCCATTCCAAATTTTACACTAGCTATTAACTAGAGCTATTATAGAAAATTACTATTACAGTGAAGCCAACATCCTTCATCATCTCCATTAATTTATAAACAAACAAACAAACAAAAACCAATAAGAACAAAAAAGCCAATTTCCTTAAGTATTAAAAAGTGGTCTTTGGTCTAGCCAAATTGTTGTACTGAGATTCTGAATATATAAAATCCCCAATTTATGCCACTGATGCTGGCTGGTCTGAGATACATCATATATTTATCCACATTTATTCTTAAATAAGGATAGCACTTCCCTACCTTGAGTGTCTATGGTGAGAATAAAGCTGATTCATAATTACTGTGCTCTTGAATATTGGGAATCAGTTCAGTGAAATGAAATAAATTGAAATGAAATGCATACTGCATATGTACATATAGCAGCCCAAACATATTTCTAAATTTCTACTTGTATGAAGTTAAATTGCCATACCTCTGTGTCTATAGTCAGCATTCTTGTCATATCCACTGATTTAGTATGGAGCCCTGGTTAAATTAGATCAGGATTCTGTGGTGCTTTCTAGTCAATGTCATTGTCCTCATTATGAACACTTGTGTCCGTACACTGCATGCATTGGCACTGTAAAGGTTAATTAATGCCTCTAAAGTATGCTAAAAATGCTAAGTATTATTCAGTGTATATGTAGGGGCATGATAGATGGAATGGTGTAAAGTAAGATCACTGCAAAGATACAAACACAGCTAGATGCAATAAGTGTAATCTGTAGAGTGGAATCTTACAGATGTTGACATCACTGAGAGATTAAACAAATTCTGAGAATTATTAGTGACTAGGTGAGTTCCAACTAACTATTCACAACTACCTTTACCAACCTACAGATTCCTCTGATCATTCATGATATTATTGAAAACTGTACTCTCATTTCAAAACATCCATGTGACTCAAAACTTTGATAATGCAACAGAATGGCTGTATTTCAGTAACACTGATAACACCTGTCAGTTTCCAAGACACAAATATTTGAGAGTATAAGTTTATTTTGCAGAGGTACATGTCTTTCAGTCAAAATATATTGATAATCTCTAGATATGATTAATTTATATTCGGAGAATTGCTTTGATATAGAAAAAATAAAAAAAAATCATAAATCTTCAAAAAACATTTGGTGGAGGATGTTGATGAGACCTTCTATAAACATCTGAAAGTAGTCTCGTGATTCTCAGCATTGGTTCTTATGAGGTACTTCAACCATCCTAATATTTGTTAGAAAACAGCAACACAAGGTCCAGACAATTCCTCCAATTCGTTGATAATAAATTCCTGATACAGGTGGTGGGGGATCTGATCAGGAGAGGTGTGCTACTTGACCTTGTTTTTACTAACAAGGAAGGGCTGACTTATATTTTAGCTGAGGGGATATGAAGGTTGAGGGCAGCTTGGGATATGGCAATCATGAGATGGTGGAGTTCAATATCTTGTGTGGAAGAAGAAAAGCAGTAAGTAGCATTGCTACCCTGGCTTACAGAAGAGCTGACTTTGACCTCCTTAAAAACCTGCTTGGAAGTATCCCATGGGCTAGAGAGTTAGAAAATAAGAGGCCCATGAGAGCTGGCTATTCAACACCACTTCTGAGTCCAAGATCAGTGCATCCCTAAGAGTAAGATATCAGGGAAAGGTGGCAGGAGGCCTGCTTAGATGAACAAGAAATTCATGGATAAACTAAAAGGAAAGAAGATGCATGAAATGTGGAAAAAGGGTCTGTCCATCTGGTAAGAACATAGTAATGTTGTCAGGCCTGCAGGGATACAGTGAGGAAGGCTAAGACCCTCTTGGAACTGAACCTTGCAAAGGATGTAAAGGATAGCAAGAAAGGTTTTTTGAAGTATGTCAGTTAAAAGGAAGACTATGGAAAAGTGTGGGTCCCCTAATAAATGGAGTGGGTGTGTTGGAAACAGGAGACACTGAGAAAGTAGAGATTCTGAATGCCTTTTTTGCTTCTGTCTTTCATGCTAAGACTAGCCCTCAGGAATTCCTAATCCTGGAAGTAATAGAGAGAGTGTGGGGAAAGAAAGGCTTCCCATTCACTGAGAAGAACCTGATCAGAGAATATCAAGCCAAAATCAGTGCACACAAGTCCGACCCCAATGGGATGCACTCACATGTGCTGAAATGGCAGATGTGATAGCTGAACCATTCTCTATCATCTTTGAAAGATATTGGCAAATGGGAGAGGTGTCTGAAGACTGGGAGATAGCCAATGCCACTTCAGTCTTTGAAAAGGGAAAGAAGGAGGATCCAGGAAGCTATAGACCAGTTAGCCTCACATTTGTCCCTGGAAAGGTGATGGAACAATTAGTTCTGGATACCATACCCAGGAGTAGTCAGCATGGATTCACCAAAGAGAAATCATGCTTGATCAACCTGGTAGCACTCTATGATGTCATCCCTGGCTGGGTGGATGGCAAAAAAGCGGTGGATGTTGTGTATCTTGACTTCAGCAAGGCATTCAACACTTTCTCCCACAACATCCTTGTTATGAAACGTAGAGTGTGTGGGATATATGAGTGAATGGTGAGGTAGATTCAGAACTGGCAGACTGGCAGAGCTCAAAGGGTTGCCACCAGCAAGCAGTCTGGCTGGTAGCCTGTAAATTGCAGTGTTTCCCAGCAGTCAGTTCAGTGTTCAGTCTTGTTCAATATCCTCATCAAGTACTTGGACGAAGGGATAGAGTGCATCCTCAGTAAGTTTGCTGATAATAGGAAACTGGGAAAAGTGGCTGTCACACCAAAAGACTGTGCCACAATTCAGCAAGATCTGGACAGACTGATGAGCTGGACAGGGAGAAACTTGATGAGGTTTAACAAGGGCAAGTGTAGAGCCTAGCACATGGGGAGGAATAACCTCATGCATCAGTACAAGTTAGGGGATGACCTGCTTGAGAGAAGCTCTGTAGAGAATGACTTGGGGGTTCTGGCATACAAGTTGGCCAAAAGCCAGCAGGGTGCCCTTGTGGCCAAGAAGGCCAATGGCATCCTGCAAGCAAGTCAAGGGATCCTCCCACTCTAGTCTGCCCTAGTGAGGTCGACTGTGTCCAGTTCTAGGCTATCTGATTCAAAAAAGACAGAGATGTCCTAGAAGGAGTCTAGCAGAAGGCCACAAAGATGATGAAGGGTCTGGAGCATTTCCCATGTGACAAAAGGCTAAGTAACCGGGGTCTGCTTGAGGAAAATCATACTAAGGAGGGATCTGATTAATGTTTATAAATATTTAAAGGGAGGTTGGAGGCAAATGGATGAGGCCAGGCTCTTCTCAGTGGTGTGTAGGAATAAGACAAGGAGCAGTGGCCTAAAATTTGTACATAGGAAGTTCCATGCAAACATGAGGATGAACTTCTTTACGGTGAGGATGACAGAGCACTGGAACAGGCTGTTCAGTGAGGCTGTAGAGTCTCCTTCTACTGAGATATTCAAGTCCCTTCTGGATATCTACCTTTGTGACCAACTGTAGCTCTAGCAGGGAGGTTGGACACAATGATCTTTTGACATTCCTTCTAATCCCCAGCTTCCAATCCCAGTGTGCAAAGTCTTCACTACAGAAAGTTGCTAGATATTTCTGATGGTTTGACTCAATTTTTATAGCAGTTACAAAATTGAAGTTAGTCTGTGGAAACTGGTAATCAAATAGTTTTCACAAACATGTTTTGTTTCTTTTGCATTAGCTTTTTATTTAATGGAAATTAAGGGAACTAAATAATTTTTAATTCTTACTTATATTTTAGCTATAAACTTTTGCCAGATAATGTTGATTTTTAATTTGAAATGTGTGAGGTTCATTAGTGTTTTTCTAAGTATAAGGAAATGAGCAAAAGCAAGGAGGAAGAGAAGAGGAAACATATTCAGACCATATCCAGCAATGGAGTTTGTCAGGCAGATAATGAGGCTTCCTGTTTTCTTCTAATTGAAAATGATCTAGAAAAAAAAAAAAAAAAGAAAAGAAAAAATATTCTTCATCATTCTGAGTTCTAGATGTTTAAGACATTTAGATATTCTTATGTTAGTAAGCAAATTTATACACAGGCATGCTGAGAAAACAGGAAAAAAAAAAAAAAAAAAAAAAAAAGTACCCTAGTAAATATTAACTGTATTTTTTCCATATCACTAATCAAAGTGAGATGGTACCACTTCTCTTACTTCACCTTTGATTACTACAGTGTTGGAAGCAGTCAGTCACTGCAAGCTTGGCAGCTGCAGGATCCAAATATACAGCCTCTGGAATGAATCTCTGTCAGTGGCAGCTGGCTATCGACTTCTTTTTTCTGTTCTACTCAGCAGATTTGATGTGATTAGTGCTGTGTTTTACACCAAGGCTATCCATTTCCACACCATTTTCTTGTAATGATGAGGAACTGAGTATGGCATGCTTTTGATGCATAAGAACAAACTATGCATAGAGACCCTGTTTCTCTTGTTTTATCTTGTTGTTTTATCTTCTTTAACCTACGTGGATTTAGCTTTAATTTATCTACACAGACCAAGCAGAAAAAGTTCGAGATCCATGGTGATCCTACACCAGCAACACAGCAAATTCAGCTCTCTCCTCTGTTTTTTAAGTAGTACAGAATACTCCTGTCAAATTTCAGGAAAACGACTGTGGATAGCAACTAGGACTAAGAAAAAGATTCTTATACACTTAATCTGAAGCCATCTGCTAATTGACTGTAAATAAAAGTTAATTAAAATAATTCTGAAAAAGAAACAGTTAATCATTCTAGAGAATATGGTTGAGGTTGAAATAGAGAAAGCTTTATAAAAACAGAGGCATAGATTATACAAAATGAGTGTAAATTAGGCAAAAATTGCATATTTGATATACCAGCTTCAGGGAAAAAGAAGAGCTTTTAAACTGATTCCTGTCCAGAACAATGACTGAGTAAAAAGTAACATGGAGAGCAGAGCCTGAGAGAATGGAGCACATTGCTTATTTGTGGCACTAGGCTCCGGTAATCCAACATTAGATAATCCAGAGCTGCCTGCACATGTTTATTTTGTAGTCTTTTGTTCAGACTTATTCCATTTCTTGGATTGTGATCAGCTCGACCACATGCAGAACAAGAATGAATTGGTCCTAATTCTCCTGGGTTTTCTAATTAAAATAGAGCTGTAACTGAAATTTATTAGGGTAAGATACAATCTCACAAGTTATTTTCTGCTAATGGCAGAAGGTGCTGTGAGTTTCTGGACACTTTAATAACTGTTCTTATGACATATGCAATTTAATTAGCAGGACTGCTGTCTTCATTTGTAATTGAAGTACATACTAGCCATCTCTGTCCCAAGTGCACCATCCAAAGAGAGGACTGAAAGGGGAAAAGTACACACAACGATTTTTTTTATAAATATATACTACTAGGTTTCATAGAATCATAGAAACGTGTAATGGGTTGAGTGGGAAAAAATCTTTAAGATCATCTAGTTCCAACTCCCCTTCTACATGCAGGGACACCTCCCACTACACCAGGCTGCCCAGAGCCCCATCCAGCCTGGCTTTAAATGCCTCCAGAGAGGGGGCATTCACAACCTCTTTAGGCAACCTCTTTCAGTGTCTCATCACTCTCACTGCAAAGAATTTCTTCCTCATATCTAGCCTAAATCTACCCTCTTTCTATTTAAAGCCATTTCCCCTCATCCTGTCACTAAACAGCCTTATAAAATGTCCCTCCCCAGCTTTCTGTAGGCCCCTTTCAGATACTGGAAGGCTGTTATAGAGTCCTCCAGAGCCTTCTCTTTTCCACCCTGAAAAGCTTCAGCTTTCTCAGCCTGTCCTAGCAGAGGTGCTCCAGCCCTCTGATCTTCTCTGTGGCCTTCCTCTGGACCCTCTCTAACAGCTCAATGCCTTTCTTATGATGGGTCCCCAGAATAGGACGCAGTACTCCAGGTGTATTCTGATGGCCGAAGTATTTTCTCCATGCACTTTCTTAATTAGTCTAAAGGAAGAACATTCTCCTTTCCCTTCTGTATATCGCAAGAGTGTCTCACAGATATGAATGACAGCAACTCTCGACTTCCAAATGCATGAGAATATACATCCAGGGTAGAGCTAAAGCATAAAACTGCCCCAATTCTTTCTTTGCTTCTTGCTCCTGTATTAAAAAAAAAAAAAAAAAAAAAAAAAAAGGAATAGGGGATATTGATTCAAGTCTTGAAGTACAAAGTCTGCATTTTTCCAGAGCAAGTAATACAGCTTATGAATAAAAGAAAAAAAGGATATACCATTAACCTTGGATATACAGACAAGAACAGACATGAAACACCCCTCTGGTGTCTCATTGAGTTAATTGGGAAATTGTTTTTACAGTGCCTGGTAAATTTAGCAGCCTTTGTCCCCAATTCTTGGCTTCCTTTTACTATATTTACTCAATGCATTTTTTCTGGAGCTAAGTTCACCTATGTGGTGGCTGCTTATATGTTGCTCTGGTCATATACCATTAAACTAGCTGTAATGACCTGCAAAGATGGAGAAAAAGTGTAGGTGGATGAACTGGCTGGTCGACTTTGGCAATATGAAGAAAGTTTACTGGCCTGTATGAAGTGAGTAACTAATGTAATAACCAGGACTCTAGCTAGGTATAGGGAAGGAGCAGCTGGCTTTTTTGACTGTTTCAATTCTATGGCATGGCATAACAGAGCTACAGGAGTATAAGATTCTAGTGATCACAGGTGCACAACATGCCCTAGTGTCACCAAGTTAAAAAGGGGCGGTGTCATTGTTTTATGATATTTGTTTATTGGTATTCCACATCATAACATCATTTAGTGCACTGGGAGTTAAAGTATTAATGCTCTAGTTCCAGGTACCTGTCCCAGAAGAGAATAGGAACTACATTCCCCAGAAGACTGTTTGCTGTGCAGTTACCATTTCTGCTCAGGGGGAATAGATATAAGGTCTTGGTGGGTCAACCGGCATCCCTCTTTTCAGTCGTCAGCCTCTCCTCACTGCTGCTCATTCCAACTGCGTGCATTGCCTTAGCACTAGCATAAGGCCTACAGCTTTTAGATACTCTCTCATTATATTTGATTTATTAGCTTCAATTCTAATTATATTGTATTATAATGTGCTATCTTGTATTCCAGTATCGTATTTAGTAAGTTAGTTTGTTTTTCCTCAGATTGTTGCTGCTGTTTTTAATTATTCGGGGTCCCCTGTTTCCTTTGTCCGGAGGCACGGATTTGCAAAATCCCTCACCCAGCTAGTCATGGAACTGGGCTGAACCAGCCTGTAAGCCGTTGACAGGCAGAAATCATCTGCATTTCTGGAGCGACAAGGGCAATCCCAGGAGCTAATTGCACTGAGGGTCAACATGAGCCTAACTGTGACTGAATGGCTGAAGCACCCTACTGTGACAGGTCCAGAGACTCTGTGCATCCTTGGCATAGACAACCTCAGGAGAGGATGCTTCAGTGGGCTTTTGATATAGATGCCTTAGAGAAGGAGGGCCATAGCAGCTGCCTACTTTGGTCTCTCAGAGGAGCCTTCTGCTGAAAGCAGAACAGCAGGTGCCAGTCGCTGCTGCAACAGTGAACTGGCAGTAATATTGCATTAACTGTGACTCCTTGATACCCATCCATAAGCTTATTCATCAGTTGGAAAGCCAAGGAGTAATCAGAAAAACTCTCTCACCCTGTATTAGTCCCATATGGCCAGTGCAAAAGTCCAGTGAAGATGGGAAGCTAACAGTGTACAATCATGGCTTGAATGAAGCCACATCACTGAATGCTGCTTGCAGACATGCAAAACTTCAACAAGAACTTCAGTCAAAGGCAGCCGAGAGGTATGCCACAACTCATATTGTCAATGCGTATTTTTTTTATCTCTTTGGCATCAGAATACAGGCCACAGTCAGCTCTCGCATGGAAGGACTCTCACCTGGAACTCACTGCCTCAGGTTTGGTATCACAGTCCTACCATTTACCATGGGATGATCCGAACTGCCCTAGAACTGAGGGAAGCTCCTGAACATCTGCAATACATTGATGACATCATAATGTGGGACAAAACAGCAGAGGAAGTTTTTGAGAAAGGGAAGAAAGTAATCTAAATCCTTCTGAAATCCAGTTTTGCCATAAAATAAAGTCAAAGGGCCTGCAAAGGAGATCCAATTTCTGGGCAAAAAATGTCAAAATGAATATCTTCAAATCTAAATAGAGGTGATCAATAAAAATCTTGGTACAGATGCCTAAAAGAGGTGGAGGTGAAATCACACAATCACAGAGTTAGAGGGATTGGAAGGGCTGTCTAGAGATCACCTAGTCCAATCCCCGAGCTAAAAGCAGGTTTTGAAAAGTAGGTCACTCAGAAAGTCATCCAGACTTTCTTGAATATTTTCAGAGAAAGAGACTCCACAACCTCCCCAAGCAGCCTGTTTCAAAGCTCTGTCACTCTCACAGTAAATAAATTCTTCCTAGTATTGCCATGGAACCTCCTATGTTCCAGTTTCTGCCTGTTGCATCTCGTTTTGCTGCATGCCACCTGAAAGATGGTATGCGAATTTTGCTGCATGCTCCCCCAACTTGACTCCCAAACTTTAGGTGTTCATAGGCAGTAATTCAATCCCCTCTCACTCTTCTCCTCCCCAGACTGAGCAGTCCCAGATATCTCATCCTTTCCACTTGTTCTCCAAGACCCAAATCATTTTTGTGGCCTCCCCCTGGACTTTTTATAGAAGATCCCTTTCTTTTATGAAATGAGGAGCCCAGAACCGGACACAATATTCCATATGTGGACACACCAGTGCAGAGTTGCAGAGTAGAGAAGAAGGATCACATCCCTCGACTGGCTGTCCATGCTCTTTTTAATGCACCTCAGGATAACATAGGCCTTCTTGGCCACAAGGACAGTGTTGGATCACAGACAACTTGACCACCAAAACACCCTTCTGTGCAGATATCCTTTCCAACAGGTCATCCTGTAACCTGTACTGATGCATACAGCTATTCTCCCCATTGTGCAGGACACGATGCTCCTGTTGAAGTTCATCAGGTTCCTCTCTTCCCAACGCTCTGGTCTGCCCAGGTCTCACTGAATGGCAGCACAATCTTGTGATGCATCAGACACTCCTCTCAGCTTTGTATCATCAGGGAACTTGCTGAGGGTGAACTCTGTCCTTTCATCCAAGTAGTTGATGAAGATGTTGAACAAGACCAGATCCAGCATCACCCTCAGGGGAACACCACTTATTACAAGACTCCAACTAGACTGTGCCACCAATTATGACCTTCTGAGCTCTGCCAGTCAGCCAGTTCTCAATCCACCTCACTGTCTGCACACCTATCCCACACTCTTAAGTTTCATGACAAGGATATTGTGGGAAAGAGCATCAGATGCCTTGCTGAAGTCAAGGTAAACAACACCCACTGCTTTTCCCCAGTCTACTCAGATTTAATTAATTGCGAGATTTAATTATAAGTGAGCCTTAGCCTTCCTGGTTGCATCCCTGCAAGCCTGATAATATTCCAGTTTTCTTCCCTAGTGACTGGGCCCTTTCTCCACATTTTATGGTATTTCTTCTTCTCTTTGAGTTTATAAGTGAGCCCCTTGTTGTTTCTACATTTTTTGTTCAACTTCTTACCCTTAGAGATTCTAAGCATGGCAAAAGTGATTCTTAAATGTCGATCAGCACTCGTAGGTCACCTTTTCTTCCAACTTTCTAACTACTAACTAGGTTCTTGAACAGGACAAAGTTGGCTTTCTTGGAGTTCAGGGCTTCAGTCCTACTTATTGCCTTGCTTCTTCCACACAAAACCTTGAACTCTACTGTCTTGAGATCACTGCATCCCAGACTTCCCCAGTCCTTTGTTGTTCGGAAGAAAAAGATCCAGCAGCACATCTTTCCTTGCTGGGTTCTCTACCACCTGTGTCAGAAAGTTATCTTCAACAAATTGCAGGAATCTCCTAGACTGAATGTGTCTGGAACATGTCCAATAAATATCAGGTGGTGGCTATGAAAACAAATGCCGGTAATTGTGAGGCTAAATTCAGCTTTGTGTGGAAGACCTCAACAGTTTTCTCATCCTAGCCTGGTGGCCTGTAATAAATACTCAGATTTGAGAGGAATGGCTTTAATATTTTTAATGGGAATAGGAAAAATCAGGGGGACATTTTCAATGGGGAGGCCTCTGCCTTCACAGTGCAGGCAGCAGGAGTTGGTTTCCACCTGATATCTTATGTGGTGCCCATTCCCAGATGCCAAGAAGAGTAATGGATGTGGAGTGAAGCACACTGTAGTCATGTGGATGTTGGCTATGCCTGAGGTGTTGCTGGCAGCCTCCCAGACAAGACCCACTGGTGGTGCAGTTTCTTTTCACGGATGTGGAGCTCCAGGGTCTCCTGCACCTCTTCCTCCAGGAACAGAGCCTCCAGTGAACAGAAGTAGATGGGGGCAATGCTGGAGTGGTGTGGTGTGTTAGCTGTGCAAACTGATGTCCTGTGTGTGTACATCTTGTGTGACTGCTGCACAATGGTGGGGAAGGCTCTCAGCTTGGTCTCTACAGACTTCCTCAGGATATGCATCTTCAGGAGCTTCCAGAAGTCCAGTACTTGTTCTAGCCTTGACACACAATGAGAATCCACTCCAGCGGGCAGATCAGCAGAGGAAACCATGGTAGGGAGTGATGCAGTCCAGTGGCAAACATCTCTCATTGGCTGCACGGGATCTGTCTCAGCAAGTTGGTGGGCCTGGCTAAGAAGTCCAAGATTGAAGGTGATTGCGTCAGCTGGCCCCTGCATTGTCAGCAATTTTTGGTATCTCGCTGTGTGCTCAAGATGGATTTTCCTCTGTTTTCTCAGCTCTGACTGGCACAAGAGTTCAACAGAGGATAGGTAAATTTGGGTGGTCAGATTCCTCCTGGCTGAGGAATGGGATGCGCTGGCTGTATTCTCTTCCCTGCAGGAGGTTCTGGAGTTTGAAGATGAAGAGGAGTGCGGATGGTGGGATGCCTTCATTCTGGCCCATCTGGCATGGTGCTGCAAAAGCCTCTTCCAGATGGCCTGGCTGCAGCGAGCACAGTCAGGTCTGTAACACAAGAACTGGCCCAGAGGCCTGCCATCCAGGGAGAGCAGACCAAGCTCACCTGTGTGCACCTCACCACCTGCAAAAGATGGGGGATGTGAGGCTCCATGAACAAGAACATTCCAGGCCTCCAACCTTAAGTCCAGGTCTGGTGGCCAGCTGATAGTTGAAGACTGGACCAGCACTGGAACACCAGTACCCAGGGACGAGCAAAACTTTACCTGATTCCTGTGTATTCATGCAATATGTCCTGTGCCAGCTCCTGACAGAGACCTGCTAGAAGAAAGCAGCACTCATAGAATTACAGAATCAAATAGTCATAGAATGGCTTATCTTGAAATGAACCTTGAAAATCATATATTTTCAACACTCTGCCTTGCACAGGGATGTCACCCACCAGATCAGGCTACTGCATATTCAGACAAAACAATACCAATTCCCTCAACTTCTCTCTGTATTAGAGATGCTCCAGCCCTATGATCTTCTATGTGAGCTGCACACCCCTACAACAACTTCACGTCTTTCTTGTGCTGAGGACCCCAGGCCTGGAGACATTACTTCAGATGGGGCCTCACAAGGGAAGAGCATGTTGGGAACATTCATTTCCCTCATTCTGCTGACCACAATTCTTTCGATGTGACCAGGATATGCTGGGCACTCTGGGCTGGCTGCACGAGCACACTGCTGGCTCATGTCAAACTTTTTGTTCACCAGAACACCCAAGTCCTTCTCCATAGGGCTTCTGTCAGTAACTTTTCTTAGTCTGTACACATACTGGGGATTGTCCTGACCCACGTGCAGAACCTTGCACTCAGCTCTGCTGAACCTCATTATGATTCCAGTGATTGTGGTCCCAGCTGAACCCACCAAGAGGCTCATGTCCCCACCTGCTCCCAAACCTTTCTCCTGCAAGGCTCCCTGGGAAGGGCTGACCTTGAGCCTTTCTCCTACCTGATGGCATTTTTTGGAGAAGTTGAACAAACAACACAGGGCAGCCCAGGCTATCAAGAATGTGAGGAGGCAAGGGCCAAAGCACTGCCAGTCGTGCAGTGCTAATTTCACGGCATTCAGCATGCTGGGACTAGAGCCACACATGTCCTTACATCTTCCTCTAGAGATGGAAACCAGGCATCTGCTGTTGTCACTAGGGGAACTGTGAAGTCACTGTCAGCTCCATGACATCCTCCAGCACACCAGAGACTCCAGGAAGGACACAGACCAAGGAACACAGAAGACCACTCAGCTAGGCCAGTGGTTGTGGTTTCTTCAGAGTGATCCTGGGCAAGAAGTTTGGGTAACCTAGGGCCTTCTGGCCAGAAAAAGCCATTCTGAGTTGTCAGGAGAGGACACTAAGATTAAGAAAACAGCATGCTTTAGTGTGCTGAAGTAAAAAGACTTCTTTGAACTGAAGCTCCTGACTTCCATGGTGTTTCCAATACTTTCAAGTTCCCTCAATAGAACTACTTTAGACATTTATAATCCTTCTCTTCCTAAGAGCTGGGAGGTTCTGGTGAGTTTATGAGAGATTGTTTCACTAGATGATCTTTGACTGTCACTATGAGGGCACTGAAATGCAGCACAGTGACTCACTCAGAATGAGTGCTTCTGGGGCCCAGATCTGCCGTGCTGCAGCCTTGAGTGGCCCTGTAACCACTGGCATACGTCAAGCATGGTGGACACAGAGCAGCAGGATGCTAGGGTCCAGTAGAAATTTGCTTTCATTCACCATCCGGCGGTTAGCACAGACTCACTGGAAGATGTGGCATGAGGATGCTTGATTTATGGGGGCACAGTGATTACAGCACAGGCCTGTGTATAGGGACAACCATACAAAGCCCCAAGGCCACAGACTGCAAGATTTTATGATTCTGAAAGCCTTTCCCAACCTATGATTCTGTGATTCCGCGACATTTGACCAAGAACTGCAGTGATATGAATAGAAGAAATGGTTTCCCATTGAAAGAGGATAGAGCTAGATTAGATAGTGGAAAAAAATCTGTTACCACAAGAGTGGTGAGGAACAACTCGTTTAAGAAGGCTGTCCCATCTTCAAGAGTACTCAAATCTAGAATAGATGCGGCTTTGGGCAACCTACAAGAACTGCTCTGAAAGCAGTGCCTCCTGTCTTATTATGTAAGGTCACAACTCCGCAGGCAGATGATAGGTGGTGATAGGGCAGTAGAGGTTGAACCTTCCTGACAATATTCTGTTACATCTTCTTGCCATGAGACAGTTGGGAACAGAGGAGCAGTCTGACAAAATGGAGTCTGACACTGAAGCACATATGAAGCAAAGGTATAATTGAATTCCTCTGTCAATGGATGCCATTTATTCCAGAATTGGAATTGACATCCATCAACACTTACGTAAATAGGTGACATTACTTTCAGAGCAACCTGTTCAGAATAAGGCATCCTTGTTAATGGCAGAGACATTGAACTGCATGATCTTTAACATTCTCTACCCAAAACATTTTATTCTTCTATGGTTTTATGATTTATTATACAAATTCCACCACTGTCTCATGATGAGAGGAAGACCAAAACTGATAAACCTATGGGCTTACTTTACCAGTAGCTTCTGTGATTTGAAGGACAAACTTTCACTACTCAGGTTTTTAATGAATTTGTGACCTCCTTTCTACACACTTGTCTAGCTGATTGTCAGCTGAATCTTCCCCTTCAAGAAGTTCACAGAAATGGCTTTTGTCACATCATCTGATAGTATCATAATCCAGGGAGAGGACTTGATCAACCATTACTCTTAACCTGTTATAATCATTTATCCTTCAGACACTGACAATGTTCCAAAGCTGGTACCAATACTGGTCAGCTTGTCTCTCCATAATACTGAACATCGGCCTTACTTTTCCCAGTATTTGAATGGCAGACCACTCTGATAAGAAAGGATCAGTTCTTGGTGTGAAAGCCTCTGGACAGGGGTGTTTAAGTCTCTTCTCTGGCATGCAGAGCACCTTCTCCCTCACTTCTCTTGTGCCCCTGGTGCCCACACAGCTGTTTCTCACCTTCAAGTTCCCAACTCCTCACACTCTTGCAAGTATTTTTCCTTTCCCTATGTTTTCACAGAAGAGCCACCAGCTACATTGGTGGGCTCAGCTGTCATCTGTACAGGTGGTGTGGTGAAGCTGTTTGGGACTGACAGGAATTGCCTGGAACCATCTGGAGTGTTTGGCACAAGAGCTGGCCCAGCCCAATCGAAACTCTTATACTGTGTGAGATATTCTAAGTGTAGGATCACATAAAATACATGCTGGACAAGGCAGTCTGGGTTATTCCACCCTCAGCAAAGGTAAGTCCATCAGTGAAATTGTTTTTCCTTATGGATGTGAGGGCATATGGTGAGTTATATGGCAGGAAAGAGCAGCCCAGTGTGTACCTCAAGTTGATTTGATGTTGGGTAAGGATAGGCAGTAACTTGAATTGCTTGATGGTAATTGAATGACATAATTTCTATGATTGCTATATGCCTTATCAACAGTATTACAGTAAGTATCACCTAGACTTCAGAAAAATCACAGAATCACAGAACTGTGGGGGTTGGAAGAGACCTCTGGAAATCATCTAGTCCAACCCCCCTGCCAAAGCAAACTCCTAGACCAGGTTGTGCTGTAGGTGTCCAGGTGGGTCATGAATATCTCCAGAGAACGAGACTCAACAACTCCCTTGGGCAGCCTGTTCCAGTGCTCCATCACTATTACTGTGAAGAAGTACTTACCTACATTTGTGCGGAAATTCCTATGCTCCATAATAAATGAATTCTGATGGAGCCAGAGAACAGACTTACAGTTTGATACCTTCATCAGCTTACTCTCAGCAGCACACAGATAGCTTTTCTTTCTTTGTAATGTTCTATGAGATTAATTTTCCATGTCTTTATTATTCTTTTTTGCCTACAAAACTTCTACATCTGGAACAAAAGAGAGCACTTAGTTTGATTTTTTCACCCTGAGCAGGGTTACAAGCTAAATACGTGTTGGGAGAGACCCGTTACTAATAAGAGAATCGTTCACCTGGGGCTGCCAGAAACAGTTCAGGTAGAATTCAGTAAGAGAAACATAGTGACAATTTTAGAGAAAACCTGGTGATGTGACTTCTGAAACGCACATTTTGGTCTGGACATGGCTGAAAAATACCAAAAAGATTAGGTCAGACCTGTAAGTTTCAGTTCTTCTAAAAGAATGCAATAAGCGATCAGTGCTATCCTGTTTTGTTTTTTTTGTTTTCTTTTTTTGTTTTCTTTCTCTCTGCCTAATAAACTTGCCTAATAAACATCAAACATAACTTGAGTTATGTGTGATGAGGACACAGAAACTTCCTGAAAGAGTACTGGTATTTCTGATAATTTAACCTTAATTCAAGAAAATGTATATTTTTAAATGCATATGGTTGTAATCATCTAGCAAAATGGTTTCGATCTAGCAACAACTGGCAGAGAAAGGAGGAAAAAACTGAGAACAGTGCAGGCTCCAAGAACATTCCCAAGGGACATTTTCAACAATAGAAAGATTAACATGAGAGAATGAAAGACACACTCGATTCACAGCCTTTTCAAGCTCTGTTATCAGTTGTTCTAGGATCTAGATTCTTTTTAGGAGTAATTTGATTTACAAGCACGAAGCTGACTGACAGTTTAAATGAAGGATAGATATGTCAGATTCTTGGCAAACAGAGATACAGCTTGGGTAGGGTCAAGAAGGGAGGGAGGAACACAGTCCTAAAAAGACCTCAGTACTGCAAAAATTCCAATTGCAACCCATTTCCCTAGGTATTTTTATTATGTCTCTGTAGTTTCTTTCTTTAATCATGGAATCACAGAATTGCAGGTGTTGGAAGGGACCTCTGGAGATCATCTAGTCCAACTCCACTCCAAAAGCAGTTTTCCTGCAGAAGGTTGTACAAGTAGGCCTTGAATATATCCATAGTAATTTTTAAAAGCTATGCATATACAGTGTTGTATAAACTGGCCAGGTTGGTCAATGTGTTTTGCTCAGAAGAGTTTGTATGCTCTATTGTCTCTGTCACAGAATGTGACCACTCTCATCCTGAATGTCTTTTTCTTTATTTTTTTAATAACAGAGTAACTTTATTTCCTTCTTCCTCCTCCCCCTTCCCCTTTTTTTTGGGGGGGGGGGATGTGTGTGTGTGTCTATGAGCACGCTGCTGTTAACTCACTTTTCCAAATGAAAGTAGTTGAACAGAAATGACACAATGTGCTTACCCAAGTATTTGTGGACTGCCCTGTCTGATATTATTTACAACATTTCTTATTATAAGAAGACTCCGGTTCTGTTTCACTGTAATATACAAACAGGGACAGAGCAGTAGGTGTTGGCTACTCTCTCTACTGTTTTTCCAAACACAATTTAGCGTGAGACTTAGCTCACACAGACAGCAAACACCAAAAACAGAGATACAGAAAGAACTCAATCTCAGCACAGATAAGCTTGAAATAATAATATAATAAAATGATCAAAAAACATTTTGCAGACGTCTAACACAGAGTAGTTTATACTGGCATGAACCTTGGTCTGATGAAGAAATTGTATTTGGCACAGCACAGCAGACAAAACTCAACAGTAATGACTGAACTATAGCCTATGTGCTTTACAAATTTGTCTAGTGCTTTACTTCAGACAAAGAATTTAAAACAGAGGCAATATGGAAAAAATAAATGAATGTATTTGAATTTACTTGTAGGTCACCCTGAAAGTAGTGCTTCCTATATAATCCCAAGGAAACTACAACAGATACAGAGAACTCAACTATTTGGTAAATTCATCAACATACTAATCATCATTAGCTATGCATTTTTGCCAGTGATGTCCATGAGCCTGCATGTGGTGCTCATAAAAATCTTAACCAGCAGAGGTAACCCACTCTTTCTATCATCACTCCTGAAATGCACAACTCACCACCTCACTGTGCTTGCATCCGCTGTTTGATCTCCATGAACATTCAGCAAGCAACAGTGAATGCCACTGGGTGAAATTTATTCCACATATAGGAATTCAATTTCACACCTTTGCTTTATACACACGTCTATGTTAGACACCATTTTGTCAGTGTGCATCTCTGCTGCCGTCTGTCACACAACTACTAAATGTAATGGAATATTGATGGGAAGGTTTAACCTCTACTGCTATATCAACAACTATCTCTGACACTGTGGGCAAAAATGACAAAATAGGAGGCATTGCTTTTGGATCAGCCCTCATGTATTCTTTTGTTATATATTGATCTTCTGTCATACATATGCATGTAGGCTATCAATACGGCTGTGTTCCTGGTTAAGACCTTCAGAGTAGAAGTACAATAGAATCAGACTCAGTCTTTCTCAAACTTATCACCTGAAGTAAATACT